TGATGGAACGCAGCCACTGGAGCGTTATCTTGACCTGTTCGAGGACATCTGCTCCAAGAACGAGTTCGAAGAAAGCGAATGGCTGCTGCGACTGCGCATCGCGCTAGCGGGTAGCAAAGCGGAGAGGATATGTATTGGATGCAATAATTACGAGGAAGCGAAGCGAGAGTTGCTCGCCTCGCTCGGAAAGACTCCGGATAAAGCGTGGAAGACATTGCTGACAGGCAAGCAGCGGTCAGATGAGTCGTTTCACCAATACGTTGTCCGTGTTTGCCGAGAAGTAGAAGTGTGGGCCACACTCGCTATGACAGAAGATGGCGAGGTGGACACCAAGTATAGCGCCGATATAGGTAAAATGTCCCCGGTGCTGCAAGCAATGGCAAAGCAGGTAATCTTGGAGCAATGCGGACCTGAGATGAAGACGTACCTGGTCGAACGGCAGTGCTACGGGATGTCACTGCGCCAGGTACAGGAGCACGGCGCGTCTTACCAGGTCGCGCACGGACGACAGGGTGATACTGCCAGGAAGCCAGTAGAACGATCCGTGCCAAGGCCCACGGCGTCGGCACAGTGCATGGCGATATCGGTCGCAGATGCAGAGAAGCAGCTAAAGTCGCTGCCACTGGAAGGGAGAAAGGGTTTTCTGCAGCGAGAGAGACTCTGCTGGAACTGCCTTAAGTATGGCCATATGGCCAGAGAATGTCGGTCAGGCTCGAGATGTACGAAATGCCAGAGGAAACACCACCTGCTAATACATGAGGTGTTGGATAGAGCAGGTTACAGCCGGGAGAAACCGACTGAGATAGTTACGGAGAAGAATGTTGGGTCGTGCTGTCTACACTCGCCAAGTGTGCGGCTGATGACCGGAGTGGCACGAGTTGAGGGAAGAACTCGAAACGCGAAGGTTCGCGTGTTCCTGGACTCGGGTGCTGAGGCGTCATTCGTGACTGCAGCGTTGGTGTCAGCAATCGATGCAGAACACGTTGGGGTTGAAAATGTAGAGGTGAAGCCGTTCGGCGCGGAACCAACCCAACAGCGCATGGATAAGTACGCCATCACGATCCAGGGTAGCTCCACTAGCATTCGGGTACGCGCGTTCGTGAAACCAACGCTTGAGATGGACCTGAAGTGCGCAAGTCCGCAGACCATTGCCCAGTGGCACAGTTGGGGAGTAGAGCTGAGTGACAAGCCTCAACAAGGGACATCAGACGAAATACATATGCTGATTGGTGCAGACTATATCAACGCGGTACTGCACAGCAAGAAGGAAGTTAATGGTGAGACGGTGTGGAACACAGAGATAGGTAATGTATTATCTGGTCCAGCGTCTGCACCAAGTCAAAACAGTCAGCCGGTGACCGTGTCATGTGTCACAGCCCACATTGAACAACTATGGCAGTTGGATGAACCTCCAGGACAACATCAGCACCTGCCATCTTTCCCGCTATGTCGCCAGGGCAGCGGGTACCAAGTGGGTCTTTTGTGGCGAAATGAGCGTCGCCCAACGGATAACTTTGCTCAAGCTAGAGTCATCGCAACGCGGCTTCTTGAAAAGCTGAAGAGGAATGGGAAGCGTGCGCTCTATGATGATGTGCTGATCAGGGAGTACCGCGAGCTTGGAGCAATTGAGCTGGAGCCATGTGAGAGCGATGCCGGGTACTATGTACCGCATCATGGTGTATTCCGCGAGCACGCTGCAACCACGAAGTTAAGAGTGGTGTTCAATGCCTCGGCGACGGCTCCAGATGGCAAGTCGTTGAACGACATGGTTGACCCTGGACCGTCGCTATTACCGAGTCTCGCAGGTATGCTATTACGGTTCCGTGAATATAAGAGCGCGCTGCAAGCGGACATCCGCAAGGCTTTCTTCATGGTCGCGGTTAATCCCGAAGACCGTCCGTACCTGCGTTTCTTGTGGCCCGGTCGAAGCGACAGCGATGAACTGTTAACCTGGAGGCTAACGAAACTGCCATTTGGCGTAAACTGCTCGCCGTACATGCTTACTGCGGTGATTCAGCATCACTTGAAGGAGCTACGGGCGTTGTCTGCACCCAAAGAGCGAGATCGTATTGATCTCTTGCTCACGAGTTTCTACGTTGACGATTTGGTCTCTAGTGTGTCAAATGCCTCGGAAGCCAAGGAGATGCAAGAGTTCAGCGTGCGTGTGCTTACGGATGCTGGCATGGAGTTACGCAAGTGGCGAGGCAACGAAATCCCGTGCGATCCAGAGGCCGGAGATAAAGTCCTCGGTCTGAAATGGAAAACCAGTGATGACTTGCTCAGCATAGCAGCGCTAGGCGAGTCCAATAGGCCGTCTGTTTGGACCCGGCGATCCCTCCTCAAGTGTGTTGCATCAGTGTTTGATCCGCTAGGTCTAGCAGCACCGGCAGTTGTGCCGGGAAAGATACTGCTACAGCAAGCCTGGAAAGTCGGAGGCGACTGGGATGATATGTTGCCTGATGGCATCGCAGCCGCATGTGCGCAATGGTGGGGAGAGTTGGCCGAAGTGGTGAGCATTGACATACCACGTTGGATTTGCTGCAATCTTGACACGCCGATTGCGCTTCATGCCTTCGCCGATGCCAGTGAGAAAGCGTTTGGATGTTGTTTGTATGCAGTCGTCAATGGACAGTCGCACTTGGTATTTGCCAAGGCCAAAGTGTCACCTGTGTCTCCGCCCACGTTAGCCCGCCTTGAGTTACAAGCAGTATGTTTAGCGGCTCGCTACGCTGAGTTTGTGGTGAAGGAGCTGCGTGTTACCGTCACGCAAGTCTATGGCTGGACTGACAGTCTCACTACCGTTCATTGGATCAGTAATCCATCGTACAAATGGAAAACATTTGTGGCTAACCGCGTCAGTCAAGTCCAAGAGATATCGAAGAAGGTCGGCATTGTGTGGAACCATTGCCCGGGCCTTCACAACCCAGCAGATTTACCGTCGCGTGGGAGTAGTGCACAGCAGATCCGTAGTCCGTTCTGGAGGGGCGGACCAACCTGGATCACGGAGCCCAATGGCTGGCCCACCGCATCCTCAACCGCAGCTACAGATGAGTCCAGTGTAGAAGTACGAGTGTCAGCCACCACCTGTAGTCGAGAATCTGATAAGGAATGGTGGCTCCGATTCAGTAAATGGTCGAGGGCACAGGGCATGGTGACTCGGATGTTGCAGTGGAAGCACACTGAGCCTCGTGCTGAACTCTATTTTGCAGCAGACAACGTATTGTACCGCATCGTTCAAGCCGCATGTTTCGCTGAGGATCTTGAGCTGATCAAGCAAGGTCAACCAGTGAAGCCCGGGTCGAAGGTGTATCAGCTTGCACCGTTTCTGGATGAGCATGGAGTGCTCAGAGCCGGGGGACGACTTCAGCACAGCGAGTTGGCGTATGGAGCCAAGCACCCAGTCCTGTTAGGCAAACATCATCTGACCGATTTGCTGTTGGAGAAAATGCATGTTGAAAGGATGCACCAAGGTGTAGAAGGAGTCTTGTCGTTTATCCGTCAGAAATTCTGGATTATCGGTGGTCGACGAGCGCTACGCAACATTACTCAGCGATGTGTTACATGCCGCCGCTACAAGGCTAAGGCTGCCTCAGAAGTCTGCCCGCCGCTGCCAGAAGACCGAGTTGTTCACGAGAGGCCGTTCGCAACTACCGGCATCGACTATGCTGGTCCGTTGTACGTGCGCCGTGGTGAGTCATCTCCGAAGGTATGGATAGCATTGTTTGTGTGTGCCACCACCAGAGCAGTTCACTTGGAGGTGGTCGATAGTTTAAGTACCGAGTCATTCTTGATGGCATTTCGGAAGTTTGTCGCGAGACGTAGTTTGCCGTCTCGGATCAGGTCTGACAACGCTACAACGTTCAAGGCGGCATCTGACAAACTGAGTGTGCCATGGATGTTCAATCCTCCAGCTGCACCATGGCATGGAGGCTTCTATGAGCGAATGGTTGGTACAGTGAAGAGTGCCTTGAAAAAGGTAATGGGAACAGCGTTTCTGAAGGTTCAGGAGCTTGAGACCATCTTGTATGAGGTTGAAGCAGTGGTGAATAGTCGTCCGTTAACTTATGTGTCTGATAGCCTGGATGAGCCACCAGTAACCCCTGCAATGATGATGGGTAACATTTGGATGTCGTCAGCGAAGCCAGCAGGTACCCCGGACGCTACGCATATGTCAGCGAGATTGCGTTACCTCAGTCAGACACTGAAGCATGTCAAGAATCGTTGGGAGGTGGAGTACCTAAGTCAGCTGAACAAGCACCAACAGACCATGTCGCGCCCTTTAGCTGTGGGTGATGTTGTCTTTGTTCTCGATGATACCAAGCGCAAACAGTTCTGGCGTTTGGGACGGATCATCGAGTTATTCCCTGGTCGAGATGGCAAGCGTCGTGTTGCCAAGGTTAAGTTAAGTACCAGTACCCTGTTGAGGCCGATCCAAAGGTTAGTGCCATTAGAAGTATCGTCACAGGACGTGGCTCCTGGGCTTGCCGATACCGCTCAACCTGCTATCGTCCCTCAGCAGCCAGCGTATGAACCGCCAGCATCGTTACCACCACCACGGCAGCAGGAGATGACGCGTGCTGGGCGCGTAGTCAGAGCCCCGGATCGTTTTTGACTTGTGTGCATTGTTGTACGGCGGTGAGAAGCCCTTTGGTGGGGAGAATGTTGTGAACCACCAGTTCTCAATTGGGAAAGGCCTTCGCGCTTATGGCATTGTATTCGGTGAAATGTTGTATTTCGACTCCGCTGTACCGCTGATGTTGCTGCATGGCATACGCTATATGCGTTGTGTGCGTTTTGCTGTATACGCTGTTATGTCCAGTTTTATATGCTTATGTTTTGCATGTACGCTGTTTCTGCATGCTATAAATAGCTGGTGTTATTAGTGTTCATTGTTAATTATCAGATGAAGTGAAATATACTGTGTAAAGGAAAAGAGTTGTCCTCGTGCCGTGTGGTCGTACGATCCTGACAATTTAGAGAATCTTAGAGGGTTCATAACAGTCGCGATGGTCAGTTTTTCAGCTTCGAACTGGCAGAGAGGTGAGAAATTGTCGCTTTTTGACCATTTGTGCCCACGTGTCACTTTCAACGTACCTCTCTATAACATGACCCAGCTGTGATGTGAGTGGTCGCATTGATTTGATTTTTGGTTTGCTTGTAGGCCATTGGCACCCGTATTCAGTGACGTCAAAATTTTGGCACTTCTGTGAATAGTTTCGTCGCAAAGTGAAGAATCACGGGCAAAAAGGCCCAAAACTTCGAGATAGCTTGATTTGAGCTTTGAGCAGCCCTGGGCAATGTGTTTATTGAAATGTGGCATTTTTTCTTCGTGCACTTCCCTATGTCCAGCTAAACAACAAGATCAGGGTGGCGATGGTCAGTTTTTCAGCTTCGAACGGGCAGAGAGGTGAGAAATTGTCGCTTTTTGACCATTTGTGCCCACGTGTCACTTTCAACGTACCTCTCTATAACATGACCCAGCTGTGATGTGAGTGGTCGCATTGATTTGATTTTTGGTTTGCTTGTAGGCCGCTGGCACCCGTATTCAGTGACGCTAAAATTTTGGCACTGCTGTGAATAGTTTAGCCGCAAAGTGAAGAATCACGGGCAAAAAGGCCCAAAACTTCGAGATAGCTTGATTTCAGCTTTGAGCAGCCCTGGGCAAGTTGTTTATTGAAATGTGGCATTTTTTCTTCGTGCACTTCCCTATGTTCAGCTAAACAACAAGATCAGCGTGGCGATGGTCAGTTCTTGAGCTTCGAACGGGCAGAAAGGTGAGAAATTGTCGCTTTTTGACCATTTGTGCCCACGTGTCACTTTCAACGTACCTCTCTATAACATGACCCAGCTGTGACGTGAGTGGTCGCATTGATTTGATTTTTGGTTTCCTTGTAGGCCGCTGGCACCCGTATTCAGTGACGCTAAAATTTTGGCACTGCTTTGAATCGTTTAGTCGTAAAGTGAAGAATCACGGGCAAAAAGGCCCAAAACTTCGAGATAGCTTGATTTGAGCTTTGAGCAGCCCTGGGCAAGTTGTTTATTGAAATGTGGCATTTTTTCTTCGTGCACTTCCCTATGTCCAGCTAAACAACAAGATCAGGGTGGCGATGGTCAGTTTTTCAGCTTCGAACGGGCAGAGAGGTGAGAAATTGTCGCTTTTTGACCATTTGTGCCCACGTGTCACTTTCAACGTACCTCTCTATAACATGACCCAGCTGTGACGTGAGTGGTCGCATTGATTTGATTTTTGGTTTCCTTGTAGGCCGCTGGCACCCGTATTCAGTGACGCTAAAATTTTGGCACTGCTGTGAATAGTTTAGCCGCAAAGTGAAGAATCACGGGCAAAAAGGCCCAAAACTTCGAGATAGCTTGATTTCAGCTTTGAGCAGCCCTGGGCAAGTTGTTTATTGAAATGTGGCATTTTTTTTCGTGCACTTCCCTATGTCCAGCTAAAAAACAAGATAAGTGTGGCGATGGTCAGTTCTCGATCTTCGAACGGGCAGAAAGGTTGAGAAATTGTCGCTTTTTGACCATTTGTGCCCACGTGTCACTTTCAACGTACCTCTCTATAACATGACCCAGCTGTGACGTGAGTGGTCGCATTGATTTGATTTTTGGTTTGCTTGTAGGCCGCTGGCACCCATATTCAGTGGCGCCAAAATTTTGGCACTGCTTTGAATCGTTTAGTCGTAAAGTGAAGAATCACGGGCAAAAAGGCCCAAAACTTCGAGATAGCTTGATTTGAGCTTTGAGCAGCCCTGGGCGAGTTGTTTATTGAAATGTGGCATTTTTTCTTCGTGCACTTCCCCATGTCCAGCTAAACAACAAGATCAGGGTGGCGATGGTCAGTTTTTCAGCTTCGAACGGGCAGAGAGGTGAGAAATTGTCGCTTTTTGACCATTTGTGCCCACGTGTCACTTTCAACGTACCTCTCTATAACATGACCCAGCTGTGATGTGAGTGGTCGCATTGATTTGATTTTTGGTTTGCTTGTAGGCCGCTGGCACCCGTATTCAGTGACGCTAAAATTTTGGCACTGCTGTGAATAGTTTAGCCGCAAAGTGAAGAATCACGGGCAAAAAGGCCCAAAACTTCGAGATAGCTTGATTTCAGCTTTGAGCAGCCCTGGGCAAGTTGTTTATTGAAATGTGGCATTTTTTCTTCGTGCACTTCCCTATGTTCAGCTAAACAACAAGATCAGCGTGGCGATGGTCAGTTCTTGAGCTTCGAACGGGCAGAAAGGTGAGAAATTGTCGCTTTTTGACCATTTGTGCCCACGTGTCACTTTCAACGTACCTCTCTATAACATGACCCAGCTGTGACGTGAGTGGTCGCATTGATTTGATTTTTGGTTTCCTTGTAGGCCGCTGGCACCCGTATTCAGTGACGCTAAAATTTTGGCACTGCTTTGAATCGTTTAGTCGTAAAGTGAAGAATCACGGGCAAAAAGGCCCAAAACTTCGAGATAGCTTGATTTGAGCTTTGAGCAGCCCTGGGCAAGTTGTTTATTGAAATGTGGCATTTTTTCTTCGTGCACTTCCCTATGTCCAGCTAAACAACAAGATCAGGGTGGCGATGGTCAGTTTTTCAGCTTCGAACGGGCAGAGAGGTGAGAAATTGTCGCTTTTTGACCATTTGTGCCCACGTGTCACTTTCAACGTACCTCTCTATAACATGACCCAGCTGTGACGTGAGTGGTCGCATTGATTTGATTTTTGGTTTCCTTGTAGGCCGCTGGCACCCGTATTCAGTGACGCTAAAATTTTGGCACTGCTGTGAATAGTTTAGCCGCAAAGTGAAGAATCACGGGCAAAAAGGCCCAAAACTTCGAGATAGCTTGATTTCAGCTTTGAGCAGCCCTGGGCAAGTTGTTTATTGAAATGTGGCATTTTTTTTCGTGCACTTCCCTATGTCCAGCTAAAAAACAAGATTAGTGTGGCGATGGTCAGTTCTCGATCTTCGAACGGGCAGAAAGGTTGAGAAATTGTCGCTTTTTGACCATTTGTGCCCACGTGTCACTTTCAACGTACCTCTCTATAACATGACCCAGCTGTGACGTGAGTGGTCGCATTGATTTGATTTTTGGTTTGCTTGTAGGCCGCTGGCACCCATATTCAGTGGCGCCAAAATTTTGGCACTGCTTTGAATCGTTTAGTCGTAAAGTGAAGAATCACGGGCAAAAAGGCCCAAAACTTCGAGATAGCTTGATTTGAGCTTTGAGCAGCCCTGGGCGAGTTGTTTATTGAAATGTGGCATTTTTTCTTCGTGCACTTCCCCATGTCCAGCTAAACAACAAGATCAGGGTGGCGATGGTCAGTTTTTCAGCTTCGAACGGGCAGAGAGGTGAGAAATTGTCGCTTTTTGACCATTTGTGCCCACGTGTCACTTTCAACGTACCTCTCTATAACATGACCCAGCTGTGATGTGAGTGGTCGCATTGATTTGATTTTTGGTTTGCTTGTAGGCCGCTGGCACCCATATTCAGTGGCGCCAAAATTTTGGCACTGCTTTGAATCGTTTAGTCGTAAAGTGAAGAATCACGGGCAAAAAGGCCCAAAACTTCGAGATAGCTTGATTTGAGCTTTGAGCAGCCCTGGGCGAGTTGTTTATTGAAATGTGGCATTTTTTCTTCGTGCACTTCCCTATGTCCAGCTAAACAACAAGATCAGGGTCGCGATGGTCAGTTTTTCAGCTTCGAACTGGCAGAGAGGTGAGAAATTGTCGCTTTTTGACCATTTGTGCCCACGTGTCACTTTCAACGTACCTCTCTATAACATGACCCAGCTGTGATGTGAGTGGTCGCATTGATTTGATTTTTGGTTTGCTTGTAGGCCATTGGCACCCGTATTCAGTGACGTCAAAATTTTGGCACTTCTGTGAATAGTTTCGTCGCAAAGTGAAGAATCACGGGCAAAAAGGCCCAAAACTTCGAGATAGCTTGATTTGAGCTTTGAGCAGCCCTGGGCAATGTGTTTATTGAAATGTGGCATTTTTTCTTCGTGCACTTCCCTATGTCCAGCTAAACAACAAGATCAGGGTGGCGATGGTCAGTTTTTCAGCTTCGAACGGGCAGAGAGGTGAGAAATTGTCGCTTTTTGACCATTTGTGCCCACGTGTCACTTTCAACGTACCTCTCTATAACATGACCCAGCTGTGATGTGAGTGGTCGCATTGATTTGATTTTTGGTTTGCTTGTAGGCCGCTGGCACCCGTATTCAGTGACGCTAAAATTTTGGCACTGCTGTGAATAGTTTAGCCGCAAAGTGAAGAATCACGGGCAAAAAGGCCCAAAACTTCGAGATAGCTTGATTTCAGCTTTGAGCAGCCCTGGGCAAGTTGTTTATTGAAATGTGGCATTTTTTCTTCGTGCACTTCCCTATGTTCAGCTAAACAACAAGATCAGCGTGGCGATGGTCAGTTCTTGAGCTTCGAACGGGCAGAAAGGTGAGAAATTGTCGCTTTTTGACCATTTGTGCCCACGTGTCACTTTCAACGTACCTCTCTATAACATGACCCAGCTGTGACGTGAGTGGTCGCATTGATTTGATTTTTGGTTTGCTTGTAGGCCGCTGGCACCCATATTCAGTGGCGCCAAAATTTTGGCACTGCTTTGAATCGTTTAGTCGTAAAGTGAAGAATCACGGGCAAAAAGGCCCAAAACTTCGAGATAGCTTGATTTGAGCTTTGAGCAGCCCTGGGCGAGTTGTTTATTGAAATGTGGCATTTTTTCTTCGTGCACTTCCCCATGTCCAGCTAAACAACAAGATCAGGGTGGCGATGGTCAGTTTTTCAGCTTCGAACGGGCAGAGAGGTGAGAAATTGTCGCTTTTTGACCATTTGTGCCCACGTGTCACTTTCAACGTACCTCTCTATAACATGACCCAGCTGTGATGTGAGTGGTCGCATTGATTTGATTTTTGGTTTGCTTGTAGGCCGCTGGCACCCGTATTCAGTGACGCCAAAATGTTGGCACTGCTGTGAATCGTTTAGTCGCAAAGTGAAGAATCACGGGCAAAAAGGCCCAAAACTTCGAGATAGCTTGATTTGAGCTTTGAGCAGCCCTGGGCAAGTTGTTTATTGAAATGTGGCATTTTTTCTTCGTGCACTTCCCTATGTCCAGCTAAACAACAATATCAGGGTGGCGATGGTCAGTTCTTGAGCTTCGAACGGGCAGAAAGGTGAGAAATTGTCTCTTTTTGACCATTTGTGCCCACGTGTCACTTTCCACGTACCTCTCTATAACATGACCGAGTTGTGACGTGAGTGGTCGCATTGATTTGATTTTTGGTTTTCTTGTAGGCCATTGGCACCCGTATTCAGTGACGTCAAAATTTGGCACTGCTGTGAATAGTTTCGTCGCAAAGTGAAGAATCACGGGCAAAAAGGCCCATCACTTCGAGATAGGTTGATTTGAGCTTTGAGCAGCCCTGGGCAAGTTGTTTATTGAAATGTGGCATTTTTTCTTCGTGCATTTCCCTATGTCCAGCTAAACAACAAGATCAGGGTGGCGATGGTCAGTTCTTGAGCTTTGAACGGGCAGAAAGGTGAGAAATTGTCTCTTTTTGACCATTTGTGCCCACGTGTCACTTTCAACGTACCTCTCTATAACATAACCCAGTTGTGACGTGAGTGGTCGCATTGATTTGATTTTTGGTTTGCTTGTAGACCGCTGGCACCAGTATTCAGTGACGCTAAAAATTTGGCACTGCTGTGAATAGTTTAGCCGCAAAGTGAAGAATCACGGGCAAAAGGCCCAAAACTTCGAGATAGCTTGATTTCAGCTTTGAGCAGCCCTGGGCAAGTTGTTTATTGAAATGTGGCATTTTTTCTTCGTGCACTTCCCTATGTCCAGCTAAAAAACAAGATCAGTGTGGCGATGGTCAGTTCTTGAGCTTGGAACGGGCAGAAAGGTGAGAAATTGTCGCTTTGTGGCCATTTGTGCCCACGTGTCACTTTCAACGTACCTCTCTATAACATGACCCAGCTGTGACGTGAGTGGTCGCATTGATTTGATTTTTGGTTTGCTTGTAGGCCGCTGGCACCCATATACAGTGGCGCCAAAATTTTGGCCCTGCTTTGAATCGTTTAGTCGTAAAGTGAAGAATCACGGGCAAAAAGGCCCAAAACTTCGAGATAGCTTGATTTGAGCTTTGAGCAGCCCTGGGCGGGTTGTTTATTGAAATGTGGCATTTTTTCTTCGTGCACTTCCCTATGTCCAGCTAAACAACAAGATCAGGGTGGCGATGGTCAGTTTTTCAGCTTCGAACGGGCAGAAAGGTGAGAAATTGTCTCTTTTTGACCATTTGTGCCCACGCGTCAAATTCAACGTACCTCTCTATAACATAACGCAGTTGTGACGTGAGTGGTCGCATTGATTTGATTTTTGGTTTGCTTGTAGGCCATTGGCACCCGTATTCAGTGACGTCAAAATTTTGGCACTTCTGTGAATAGTTTCGTCGCAAAGTGAAGAATCACGGGCAAAAAGGCCCAACACTTCGAGTTAGCTTGATTTGAGCTTTGAGCAGCCCTGGGCAAGTTGTTTATTGAAATGTGGCATTTTTTCTTCGTGCACTTCCCTATGTCCAGCTAAACAACAAGATCAGGGCGGCGATGGTCAGTTCTTGAGCTTCGAACGGGCAGAAAGGTGAGAAATTGTCGCTTTTTGACCATTTGTGCCCACGTGTCACTTTCCACGTACCTCTCTATAACATCACCCAGTTGTGACGTGAGTGGTCGCATTGATTTGATTTTTGGTTTGCTTGTAGGCCGCTGGCACCCGTATTCAGTGACGCCAAAATGTTGGCACTGCTGTGAATCGTTTAGTCGCAAAGTGAAGAATCACGGGCAAAAAGGCCCAAAACTTCGAGATAGCTTGATTTGAGCTTTGAGCAGCCCTGGGCAAGTTGTTTATTGAAATGTGGCATTTTTTCTTCGTGCACTTCCCTATGTCCAGCTAAACAACAATATCAGGGTGGCGATGGTCAGTTCTTGAGCTTCGAGCGGGCAGAAAGGTGAGAGATTGTCTCTTTTTGACCATTTGTGCCCACGTGTCACTTTCCACGTACCTCTCTATAACATGACCGAGTTGTGACGTGAGTGGTCGCATTGATTTGATTCTTGGTTTGCTTGTAGGCCATTGGCACCCGTCTTCAGTGACGTCAAAATGTTGGCACTGCTGTGAATAGTTTCGTCGCAAAGTGAAGAATCACCGGCAAAAAGGCCCAACACGTCGAGATATCTTAATTTGAGCTTTGAGCAGCCCTAGGCAAGTTGTTTATTGAAATGTGGCATTTTTTCTTCGTGCACTTCCCTATGTCCAGCTAAACAACAAGATCAGGGCGGCGATGGTCAGTTCTTGAGCTTCGAACGGGCAGAAAGGTGAGAAATTGTCTCTTTTTGACCATTTGTGCCCACGTGTCACTTTCCACGTACCTCTCTATAACATGACCGAGTTGTGACGTGAGTGGTCGCATTGATTTGATTTTTGGTTTGCTTGTAGGCCATTGGCACCCGTATTCAGTGACGTCAAAATTTTGGCACTGCTGTGAATAGTTTCGTCGCAAAGTGAAGAATCACGGGCAAAAAGGCCCATCACTTCGAGATAGCTTGATTTGAGCTTTGAGCAGCCCTGGGCAAGTTGTTTATTGAAATGTGGCATTTTTTCTTCGTGCACTTCCCTATGTCCAGCTGAACAACAAGATCAGGGTGGCGATGGTCAGTTATTGAGCTTCGAACGGGCAGAAAGGTGAGAAATTGTCGCTTTTTGACCATTTGTGCCCACGTGTCACTTTCAACGTACCTCTCTATAACATGACCCAGCTGTGACGTGAGTGGTCGCATTGATTTGATTTTTGGTTTGCTTGTAGGCCGCTGGCACCCGTATTCAGTGACGCCAAAATTTTGGCACTGCTGTGAATCGTTTAGTCGTAAAGTGAAGAATCACGGGCAAAAAGGCCCAAAACTTCGAGATAGCTTGATTTGAGCTTTGAGCAGCCCTGGGCAAGTTGTTTATTGAAATGTGGCATTTTTTCTTCGTGCACTTCCCTATGTCCAGCTAAACAACAAGATCAGGGTGGCGATGGTCAGTTCTTGAGCTTCGAACGGGCAGAAAGGTGAGAAATTGTCTCTTTTTGACCATTTGTGCCCACGTGTCACTTTCAACGTACCTCTCTATAACATGACCCAGTTGTGACGTGAGTGGTCGCATTGATTTGATTTTTGGTATGCTTGTAGGCCATTGGCACCCGTATTCAGTGACGTCAAAATGTTGGCACTGCTGTGAATCGTTTAGTCGCAAAGTTAAAAATCACGGGCAAAAGGCCCAAAACTTCGAGATAGCTTGATTTGAGCTTTGAGCAGCCCTGGGCAAGTTGTTTATTGAAATGTGGCATTTTTTCTTCGTGCACTTCCCTATGTCCAGCTAAACAACAAGATTAGGGTGGCGATGGTCAGTTCTTGAGCTTCGAACGGGCAGAAAGGTGAGAAATTGTCGCTTTTTAGCCATTTGTGCCCACGTGTCACTTTCAACGTACCTCTCAATAACATGACCCAGCTGTGACGTGAGTGGTCGCATTGATTTCATTTTTGGTTTGCTTGTAGGCCGCTGCCACCCGTATTCAGTGACGCCAAAATTTTGGCACTGCTGTGAATAGTTTAGCCGCAAAGTGAAGAATCACGGGCAAAAAGGCCCAAAACTTCGAGATAGCTTGATTTGAGCTTTGAGCAGCCCTGGGCAAGTTGTTTATTGAAATGTGGCATTTTTTCTTCGTGCACTTCCCTATGTCCAGCTAAACAACAAGATCAGGGCAGCGATGCTCAGTTCTTGAGCTTCGAACGGGCAGAAGGGTGAGAAATTGTCGCTTTTTGACCATTTGTGCCCACGTGTCACATTCAATGTACCTCTCTATAACATGACCCAGCTGTGACGTGAGTGGTCGCATTGATTTGATCTTTGGTTTGCTTGTAGGCCGCTGGCACCCGTATTCAGTGACGCCAAAATTTTGGCACTGCTGTGAATAGTTTAGCCGCAAAGTGAAGAATCACGGGCAAAAAGGCCCAAAACTTCGAGATAGCTTGATTTGAGCTTTGAGCAGCCCTGGGCAAGTTGTTTATTGAAATGTGGCATTTTTTCTTCGTGCACTTCCCTATGTCCAGCTAAACAACAAGATCAGGCTGGCGATGGTCAGTTCTTGAGCTTCAAACGGGCAGAAAGGTGAGAAATTGTCTCTTTTTGACCATTTGTGCCCACGTGTCACTTTCAACGTACCTCTCTATAACATGACCCAGCTGTGACGTGAGTGGTCGCATTGATTTCATTTTTGGTTTGCTTGTAGGCCGCTGGCACCCGTATTCAGTGACGCCAAAATTTTGGCACTGCTGTGAATCGTTTAGTCGCAAAGTGATGAATCACGGGCAAAAAGGCCCGAAACTTCGAGATAGTTTGATTTCAGCTTTGAGCAGCCCTGGGCAAGTTGTTTATTGAAATGTGGCATTTTTTCTACGTGCACTTCCCTATGTCAAGCTAAACAACAAGATCAGGGTGGCGATGGTCAGTGCTTGAGCTTCGAACGGGCAGAAAGGTGAAAAATTGTCGCTTTTTGACCATTTGTGCCCACGTGTCACTTTCAACGTACCTCTCTATAACATGACCCAGCTGTGATGTAAGTGATCGCATTAATTTCATTTTTGGTTTGCTTGTAGGCCGCTGGCACCCGTATTCAGTGACGCCAAAATGTTGGCACTGCTGTGAATCGTTTAGTCGTAAAGTTAAGAATCACGGGCAAAAAGGCCCAAAACTTCGAGGTAGCTTGATTTGAGCTTTGAGCAGCCCTGGGCAAGTTGTTTATTGAAATGTGGCACTTTTTCTTCGTGCACTTCCCTATGTACAGCTAAACAACAAGATCAGGGTGGCGATGGTCAGTTCTTGAGCTTGGAACGGGCAGAAAGGTGAGAAATTGTCGCTTTTTGACCATTTGTGCCCACGTGTCACTTTCTACGTACCTCTCTATAACATGACCCAGTTGTGACGTGAGTGGTCGCATTGATTTCATTTTTGGTTTGCTTGTAGGCCATTGGCACCCGTATTCAGTGACGTCAAAATGTTGGCACTGCTGTGAATAGTTTCGTCGCAAAGTGAAGAATCACGGGCAAAAAGGCCTAACACTTCGAGATAGCTTGATTTGAGCTTTGAGCAGCCCTGGGCAAGTTGTTTATTGAAATGTGGCATTTTTTCTTCGTGCACTTCCCTATATCCAGCTAAACAACAAGATCAGGGCGGCGATGGTCAGTTCTTGAGCTTCGAACGGGCAGAAAGGTGAGAAATTGTCGCTTTTTGACCATTTGTGCCCACGTGTCACTTTCAACGTACCTCTCTATAACATGACCCAGTTGTAACGTGAGTGGTCGCATTGATTTGATTTTTGGTTTGCTTGTAGGCCATTGGCACCCGTATTCAGTGACGTCAAAATTTTGGCACTGCTGGGAATAGTTTAGCCGCAAAGTGAAGAATCACGGGCAAAAAGGCCCAAAACTTCGAGATAGCTTGATTTCAGCTTTGAGCAGCCCTGGGCAAGTTGTTTATTGAAATGTGGCATTTTTTCTTCGTGCACTTCCCTATGTCCAGCTAAACAACAAGATCAGGCTGGCGATGGTCAGTTCTTGAGCTTCAAACGGGCAGAAAGGTGAGAAATTGTCTCTTTTTGACCATTTGTGCCCACGTGTCACTTTCAACGTACCTCTCTATAACATGACCCAGCTGTGACGTGAGTGGTCGCATTGATTTCATTTTTGGTTTGCTTGTAGGCCGCTGGCACCCGTATTCAGTGACGCCAAAATTTTGGCACTGCTGTGAATCGTTTAGTCGCAAAGTGATGAATCACGGGCAAAAAGGCCCGAAACTTCGAGATAGTTTGATTTCAGCTTTGAGCAGCCCTGGGCAAGTTGTTTATTGAAATGTGGCATTTTTTCTACGTGCACTTCCCTATGTCAAGCTAAACAACAAGATCAGGGTGGCGATGGTCAGTGCTTGAGCTTCGAACGGGCAGAAAGGTGAAAAATTGTCGCTTTTTGACCATTTGTGCCCACGTGTCACTTTCAACGTACCTCTCTATAACATGACCCAGCTGTGATGTAAGTGATCGCATTAATTTCATTTTTGGTTTGCTTGTAGGCCGCTGGCACCCGTATTCAGTGACGCCAAAATGTTGGCACTGCTGTGAATCGTTTAGTCGTAAAGTTAAGAATCACGGGCAAAAAGGCCCAAAACTTCGAGATAGCTTGATTTGAGCTTTGAGCAGCCCTGGGCAAGTTGTTTATTGAAATGTGGCACTTTTTCTTCGTGCACTTCCCTATGTACAGCTAAACAACAAGATCAGGGTGGCGATGGTCAGTTCTTGAGCTTGGAACGGGCAGAAAGGTGAGAAATTGTCGCTTTTTGACCATTTGTGCCCACGTGTCACTTTCAACGTACCTCTCTATAAAATGACCCAACTGTGACGCGAGTGGTCGCATTAATTTGATTTTTGGTTTGCTTGTAGGCCGCTGGCACCCGTATTCAGTGACGCCAAAATTTTGGCACTGCTGTGAATAGTTTAGCCGCAAAGTGAAGAATCACGGGCAAAAAGGCCCAAAACTTCGAGATAGCTTGATTTCAGCTTTGAGCAGCCCTGGGCAAGTTGTTTATTGAAATGTGGCATTTTTTCTTCGTGCACTTCCCTATGTCCAGCTAAACAACAAGATCAGGGTGGCGATGGTCAGTTCTTGAGCTTCAAACGGGCAGAAAGGTGAGAAATTGTCGCTTTTTGACCATTTGTGCCCACGTGTCACTTTCAACGTACCTCTCTATAATATGACCCAGCTGTGACGTGAGTAGTCGAATTGATTTGATTTTTGGTTCGCTTGTAGGCCGCTGGCACCCGTATTCAGTGACACCAATATTTTGGCACTGCTGTGAATAGTTTAGCCGCAAAGTGAAGAATCACGGGGAAAAGGCCCACAACTTCGAGATAGCTTGATTTCAGCTTTGAGCAGCCCTGGGCAAGTTGTGTATTGAAATGTGGCATTTTTTCTACGTGCACTTCCCTTTGTCCAGCTAAACAACAAGATCAGGGTGGCGATGGTCAGTGCTTGAGCTTGGAACGGGCAGAAAGGTGAGAAATTGTCGCTTTTTGACCATTTGTGCCCACGTGTCACTTTCAACGTACCTCTCTATAAAATGACCCAACTGTGACGTGAGTGGTCGCATTGATTTGATTTTTGGTTTGCTTGTAGACCGCTGGCACCCGTATTCAGTGACGCCAAAATGTCGGCACTACAGTGAATAATTTAGTCCCAAAGTGAAGAATCACGGGCAAAAAGGCCCAAAACTGGGAGATAGGTTCTTTTCAGCTTTCAGTAGCCTTGGGCGAGGTGTTTATTGATATGTGGCATTAATACTTGGTGCGCACTGTGCTCTCTGTGCCCGCTGCTTTCAAACTGCGCAAGTCGGCGGCCGTCACCGATGCTTGAGGGCTGGCCTCCGCCCGACTGCCCAGAAGCGTATTTCGTTCAGTCATGTATGCCTGTGTTCTCGCCGGTTCCGTTTGCTCCACCATCTCCGGCGACATCAGGCTGCGTGCTCCATCTTTCTCTCTGATGCCCCTCCTGGGCCCACGTGATCCCTGTGGCAGTGACTCTACAGTACAGGACAGGACAGGTGTGTGTGTGTGTGTGTATGTGTGCGCGCATACATGTGCATATGTGTGTGTGTGTGTGTGTGTGTGTGTGTGTGTGTGTGTGTGTGTGTGTGTGTGTGTGTGTGTATTAGTGTGGTATGTATATGCTTGTGTTCTTTAGACTTGGTGTGCAGTTCGCTCATCTCATAGTCTAGCAGACATGTTTCAATCAATGATTTAAAAGAGAACATCTCCTCTCGCAGCTAGAGTCCTCCTGGACCAGAGGTGAGCCACAATGCAAAGTTTGTGTCTGCAGGTGCATGTGTGTGTGTGTGTGTGTATGCGTGCGTGCATATGCATGCATGCATATACAAAGTTGAGCTCGGTGAAATCCGACCCAGAGTGCGCATTTGGCGCCGGGTGTGTGTGCGCGCGCGCATGCGTGTGTGTGTGTGTGTGTGTCTGCGCGCTAGTGAGCACGGACTGCTTCTGGCTAGATTAACTCTCGTGTAGTGAATCGTGCTAGTGAAGCTTATACCAGAACCACTCTGATTTAGCCACCCATGCACACTAGTAGCACATTTTACCTTCACTGAGGGCAGGGGTAATTGCAGTTGGATCCCGGGACATATACTCTGATGCCATCAATCCTTTTTTTGCACCTTGCCCTCATCCACTTACTGATATGTGGTGAGCCCATAAGTGGGATGATTTCCAAGGCCAACAAATACCGATAGGCCTCCTTTAGGTGTGTGCGTAATGTCACATGGTTGCTGTGCGTGTGTTTATGTGTGTGCGTGTGTATGTGTGCATGCCTGTGTACGTGTGTATGTGTGTATGTATGTGTGCATGTGTGTGTGTGTGTGTGTGTGTGTGTGTGTACATGCGTGTGTGTGCATGCGTGCATGTGTGTGTGTGTGTGTGTGTGTGTGTGTGTGTTTCTTGTATATGTGTGTGCGTGATTAATTCTGCTCGTTCCTGTACAGCTTGCCTGTGCAAATCGTCTCGTCTACCATTCCAAGCGATGAACATGGCTTCATAGCGTGTTTTCCACCGTCTTTGCAAGTCACGATTGCACTTACTGTGGTGTGAAAGAATGCTACAGTTGTACACATCCAGTTGCAGCTCAAGCCAGAGAGCAGCCAGCATTCTGCTGGCGTATGTGAGCAAAGGTTGCTGTTGGAATTGTCCATTGCAGAGAACAGCTTTACTTACCTGCCATATGTCACGTAAACCAGTCCGTGCAGCCGTTAGACCTGTGTTGATGGATGCAGCAGCTATCCTGCATTGTGACTATAGACCTTTGAGGGTATCATGGATATGGATTCTGCTCCTGCAATATTGCCCGTGATCATGGTGATGGCCGCCTAGTAGCTAGCCCAGCAGATGTATCAGAACTAGCAGATGCAGCAGCTGAGCCAGCCATAGCTACCACTGCAACAGACCCAGCAGTAGGAGCAGTTGCCATTGCAGCTAACACTGCAGCAGAATACAGCGGCAAGAGCAGTTGCCATGGCAACAACCACTACAACAGACACAGCAGCAACAACAGTGGCCATAGTGGCAACAAACACAGCATCTGCTGCACCAGACAGTGACTGTATTCGTTTGAAAACTAGTGGGCAGACGGCTCACAGCAGCAATGCCAAGCATCAGTCAGAACGGCTCAGTCTTCAGCAGCAGTAAGCAGCAGTAAGCAGCAGTAAATGGCATGCAGTACACTTCACAAAGTGAGCACCTTAGCAAGAAAGATGTTGTTTTTCTTCCTTTTTTCCACGCACCGAGCAGCAGTGGAAGTGTTAAATCACTGTTTGCATATGCCAATGGACTGGTCGAAGGATGTGAGCCCATGCTATCCATTAAATCACTGAAAACCTTTTGACATCTCTGCCTTTCTGTCATACTTTGGCGAAAGCTTAATTTTAGTTTCCACTCTCAGACCTAGATTCCGTCTGTTGGAGTGCACATCCAAGACGGGCTATAGCTGATAGCCAGTTATTTGTAGAACGTCAGTACCGTCGTGCAATGTTATCGCATGAGCTGATTGTCAGGTAACTGGTGGTAGTGCACACTATAACGTAACTTGTAGTTCCTTGGTCCTTTTCTTTACCTTAAATTATTTCCATATTATTGGACTCAAGAGTGCTACGTTGCAGCTAGCCCATAATAATGACAGCGCTGACTTTTTGCGTCCAGTTTTCATATGGATTCATACATGTTTGGGTGGTTTTTCCTTCTCAGCATTTTGACACTTCGTTCAACCTGTAGACTACGGCGAATTATGATCGCAAAATTGTGGAATCATGCTCCCATGGATGCTGGCACTATGCTCGCAAACTCTTTATATTATAAAATTTGATTTTGCGAGCGTTATTTTTTATGCTTTGTAACGGATCCTTTGAAAGCTTTGGGATGCGGGTATATTTATTCAGTGTGTTGTAATTGTACGTATGGAGCCTGGAAGTTCGGAGAATTGCGTTTGTAATAATTGTGTCGTGCTTTAGGAAAGCCGTGAGCCGCCAGGTGATGCGCTGCAGGCAGTCACTGCAGCCAGTCCCTTGTGTGAGCACTGGTTTGCACAAAACCCGGGCAAACATTTACAGTACAGGCAGTAGTGCAATACCAGGGTCCAGCTCGGCTCAAGACGGCCAGTCACGTCAAAACTACATAATTCATTGTACTGTCTGTCTGCGTGTGGCTGAGGTTGTTGGTATGTCCGTTGGCTCTTGGTTCCTAGTACTCAGTAGCCGAGGCTGGCTGGTAAAGTAACTCCAATTTCACTTCAAGGTACCAGTGCATCTAGTGTCTGCTTCTATCAAAGCAGCTTGATGTCTATTGGTTACCCCAGCAAGTGTAGGGTGTGCATAGGTAACTGTCTTGGCTGTTGTATGTCAATGTACTCCGTGGGGTAGAGACCAGGTGTGCATTGGTGGTCGATTCACATGGCTTTGCAGGTTGTGTGGATTGATCAGTTATCTGGTGCTAGTCTTGATCTGTCTCATTCAGATCTTGTCCGCTATCGTTGCTATAAGAGAAAACCTGTGGGTGCACATCCAGTGCATTTGCAGATTTGCGTGCTTCTCTTGCGACGTGCGTATACATGGTACATGGTAGACTACATGGTGTGTATACATAATGATAATAATTATTTTTTCTTCAGACTTTTCCCGTTTGTGTTTTTTCCCTCAAATCAGTTAATATTTTATGACTTGGGCTCTCCGCGTGCTAGTTTGTACGTGAAGTGTGTGGGTTACAGTGAGGGCTGCGTCCCACCCGCCTGTGTGGATTCACAGGAAGTGTGAGTTACGAAGTCTGAAGAAAATGTTGAACGATCTTTGCTGGCATGACGACTACACCATAGCTCAGTGGTTAGAGCATCGCTGGCTACAAGCGAGGGTCCCTGGTTCGAGTCCTGGTGGTGACAGTCAATTTTTTCTTCAGACCTTTCCCGTTTGTGTCTTTTCCCTCAAACCAGTTAATATTTTATGACTTGGGGCTCCCAGCGTGCTAGTTTGTACGTGAAGTGTGTGGGTTACAGTGAGGGCTGCGTCCCACCTGCCTGTGTGGATTCACAGGAAGTGTGAGTTACGAAGGTCCTTTTTGAGAATGAGCATGAAATGGCATCCGAAAAACAAGGGCAAATGCCCAATGAGGCTGTTATACACACCTGCTATTGAAGGCATACCTTTTGGCATAATCAGGTTCCTTTTTGAGAAGGAGCATAGAATGGCATCCGAAAAACAAGGGCAGATGCTCAATGAGGCTGTTATATATACACAACTGCTATTCAAGGACCATACATATAGCGCTTCTTGTCGATTAGGAATGATAAAAAGTGCAGTGTTTGGTTGTAAATTTGGTATTCCTCTTGCATAATTATTATTGTCCTGTACTTCCACAAAGCTCCCAGTCCACACCCTGAGAATGGTCTGAGTCCTTTCTTCATGACGATTATGTTCTTTTGGTCTTTCTAGTGAAGCGTATAATAACAGCATAATTGGCTGTTTTCTCGAGCATTCTGCAAACATGCGCTAGAGCATAATCTGCTCCTTTCCAGAGCATATACCGCTTACCCCTAGAGATGGTCCAGGTCTGGCAGCCATAGAGCACAGTAGCAAGAACAGATACCAAGCGTATTTTTACTTTTTAATGCTAATAACTGGGCTATTATTGTGCACGTACCTGTCTACGTGTACAGGCAAGAGTACATAATCCCTGCCTGGCCTGGGGTTATCATGGATACTCTTGCTACAAGCTTGTACAATTAAATGGCACTGTACACCATACACGCATGCTATGCAGTACAGCACATAATGCCAGTGAGTCGTTAAAAATCGGTATTTTTACGACTCCCTGATTCATATATTCATAAAATGTATGGCAAATTCTGGCACCATAATTATTAGTTACCATGGCAGCAAAGCGAATTTTCCTAGCATTTTGGGTGAAATTTTGAATTTATGACAACATTTCGGTGATATCCTTTGACTTTTGCATGCCAAATTTGAGAGAAAAAGATCGCATGATGTGGACACCAGTGATTTACAAGGTCTGCTCCGACTAGATCTACGGTCTACAAGTACTGTTGCAGTACTGCAGTGCTGGCAACTGAAATCCGACCCCCTGAGCGGTGCGCTCACGTCGCAAAGACCCACCAAGGGATGGTAAAACTACGAAACAGAGACCGATAGAATGTGAAACCACAGCTCAGGGGTCGGATTTCAGTTGCCAGCTCCGTAGTACTAGTAGACCTACATGTATACAGTACAGGCTACAATTATTTATGTCAATGATTATGATTGTACTGAGTCGACTACATTTTTTTGTAGTCCGTGCTGCATCATTCATGCATCCAACTTGGCCCGATCCGAGACCGGCGGGAAGCTGTGCAACGCACATGCGCCGATGTTCGCATTTGCATCATGCATGCATGCACCCCGATCCGAGAAAGGCGGGAAGCTGTGCAACGCACATGCGTCGATGTTGGCATTTGCATAGGCTGTGCATGTAGATGTGGCTGATTGTATTGTCACACATACAATACAGTCATACAGTCATCATTGTACTTGTACTAAGTCTTGTACAGTAAGTACTACACTCTACAGTACAGTTGTCGGCAAAAAGATCGTCCACGACCTGTTGATCTGATGCAGTCATGATGTCTGAATCGATGATGGAAATCTTCATGGAGAGCGAATCCCATTTGCTGCATTCACTAAAACATTTTTTGGAATAAAACGTTCCCTTTAGAAGCTGAGTAAAAACATTGAAAGCAGTTTAGAGTTTTGTGACAGCCTCGGTTGTGAACCACAATGCTGCCGACATAGCCAAGTCCAAGACGGGTGTTGAAATGGCACGCTAGCTAGCCCCTAGCGCGCGACGCAGGGATATGCAGGCTCATCGAACAGCTAGGACGATGGATATATAACTTGCAAGACGGAATTATGGTTGCATGAACTGTAAGTGAATCAGATTCAATCTGGTAGTTTTCACTTACCACACCCATACTGGTAACGCCAATGAAGAGTGACGAACCGTATTATGAAGGGCATGATGTCAGACGTTGTATTGTGACTATGCTCGACGTTAGTGAGTTGTAACTCACACAGTACTATAATACATGTGACCAGTGCTCTGCAAAATCCAACCTTCGGTGCCATTTTGGCGAAATTGAGATTTTGCTGGAGTGTTGAACCATGACCTTTTCTTCGACTTCTGGTGAATGAAGTTTCAGGTGGATTGCATTCATACCGGTATTCAGGTACCGTAAAGTCGCGGATAAAAGCCGGGTTTGCATACAAGCACATAGCGGATAGAAGCCCGAAAATCAATCGGGTCAAATGCATAAGCCTATCGCGCGTAGAAGCCTGGCTTCTATGCAAGCGCGGATCGGGTAGGTCAAGAGTGCATTTGCTATGTACGGTGCATAGTAAAACTGCCACCGTACCGGTAGTCTGTGGTAGATCTACGCGTGTCGCGCGCAGAAGCCTGGCTTCTATGTGCGTACAAGCCTGGCAAATATACCAGTGGTGCATATAAGCATAGTTTGCGTACAAGCCTGGTTTGCATTAAAGCCTGATGCAGAAAGCGGCTTATATGATTATATAAGCCCGGCTTTTATCCGCGACTTTACGGCAGATACAATGACAATTTCTTTGTAATTGTCCTGCAAATTTTGGAGGAAACATAAATCCTGGATTTTGTGCTACAGTTTCGAACAAATATTGTGAGAATTCCAGTGGCATGATTGCAACCGAAAGTTTGAAGAATAAAAATTTCACCAGTTGTAGTTTTCGGGGTGCTGAGTGGAATGGTCGTTGTCCGAGGAAGCTGAGATGCTCCCTTTCCTACTTTAATCCCAATCAAACTCGCGCACTTCCACCGAAACTTGGTGACTGCGCCCTACTAGATGGGGAATTGTATGCATAATGTCACTAAAAGCGCCATTTCGTTCTTATAAAAGCACGGATGACCACGATTGGCCCATATGTTGTAGTCTTTTGGACGCTCAGTCGACTGGTTTTGGTCCGAGAAAGCTGCGATGCAGCGTTCCTTCTTTATTCCCAATCGAGCATGGTGGAACAAGTGGTCATGTGCTCCTGCGTGCCAAGTCACCTGGTCATTGCGCCAGCAGGCGACAACTTTCACACCAAGGTTCAACTCCAGTTCAACTCGAGTGACAGGATTGCACCCAAAAAGGTCAAACAAGCTGTAAGTTGTACCCTGCAGGCACGTTGATCAGGTGACTGGTGTACGCAGGAGCACCTGACCGTTTGTTCAACCATGTTCGATTGGGAATAAAGGAGGAACGCTGCATCGCAGCCTTTTCAGACCAAAATCAGTCGAGTCAGCGTCCAAAAGACTACAACCTATGGCCCAATCGTGGTCATCTGTGCTTTTATAAGAACCAAATGGCGCTTTTAGTGACATTTTGCATACAAATCCCCATCTAGTAGGGCGCAGTCACCCAGTTTCGGTGGAAGTGCGCGAGTTCGATTGGGAATATAGGAGGAAGGGAGCATCTCAGCTTCCTCGGACCAAGACCATTCGACTCAGAACCCCGAATATTACAACTGGTGAAAATTTGATTTTAGGCTTAACCCTTTATGTACCAGCCATCTATTGTATGTAAGGGGCTATCGCAGCCAAAGAAGCAACCATGGTATGAAATCTAGATAACTTTTGTCTATGCAAGTTTTGTTTTCCTGACTCCATATGTATCACTGCAACCAGGTAAGCACGGATACTGGTACAGCATGCAGTAGTATATGAAGGCCATAGGTAGAATACCAAAAATACGTGCCAATTGTGCATAGTAGTAGTAGTAGTAGAATTTATTATTTTGATAGGGAAGGCCCTACAGACGTTGCCGTCTTGTTACAGGGAACCCTAAGTGCTCTTTACAGAGCGAAACAAAAACGGATAGATGCTCAACCTGACGACACGA